ATTAATATGCACCTTCTATTAAAGTTTGGTTTTTCTTTAACACTTTAAGACCGTATCTCTGGGGCACTGCTGAAAATAATCTTTCAAAAAGCAAATCTAAATTCCCATCTTTAAAGCTTGTATATCAGATAAGTTTGACCAATACTACAATAAACACTGATCACGCACGACATATTCCGATGTAAGACACGTGCCGTTACAATGTCATAGCCAGTTTTAACGCATCAGCGCACACAGGTTTGTCGAATATGCCAGTTGATTGGAGGAAAATTACCAAAAACAACGCCTACCTTAAACTAATATCCAATCAACCGCCTTCAGGAACATAAATCAAACATGGATAAGGGTACAGAGATATGGTTGCGTATTCAATATTTGAAAAAGTTTAGACTCTTTATTCAAACTTAGAAGTATAGAATATGCCTGTAATGCAAGTTTCGCGATTTTACAATAATTTACCCAGTGAGGAGAAAACTTGAAACAAATTTAATAAAACTTGCAAATTAAAACAATTTCTAATTGTTCTCTATTCGTACAAAAAATCACCAGCAATTATCTTAGATTAAAAAATCAAATAGTTCTTTAACCTGTATGCAATCGCAAAAAAATAAACATTTTAGTTTTTGATCTAGATACAAAAGACGACAATGCTCCTTACATTTAAAACAGTCTACTCCACATTTCATAGTGTATGCCAGAGCTTGGCAGATATTCCATTACTGTGCCTAAAGTTGCAAATGATAAATTTCTGGAGAAGACTTCTTAATGGAAAAGAAAGTAAAATTTGTGTTGTATTATACAAACTTGTGTTTTTTAGTTATAATGATAACGGATTAAAAACTAAGTGGAGATCATATATAAAAATATTTTTGATAATTGTGGTATGTCTAATATATGGAATGCACTGTTTGCTGATAAATGGGTGTCATAATGTTTTGAGCAAAAACCCAAAGACCAGTTTTAACAAGAATGCTTTCCTTTTGTTGCAAATCGCCACCACTTGCCGATTGAGTCTGGAAGGTGGCAGTGTTTACCGGGAGAAGACAGAATCTGCCGTCTCTGTGACTCAAACGACATTGGTGACGAGTAGCATTACATTATAAATTGTGGAACGTTTAAACTAGAAAGAAAGAAATTTTTACCGAACTACTGTTGGTCAAACCCTAATATCTATAAATTTGATCAACTGTTTAACTCATCAAATGTTGTAATATTATATAATTAGAAAAACTATGTAAATTTATCAAAGTTATATAAATGTGAAAGTCAGTCCTCCAAGTTAATTTCATTGTATTGTTTACACATGCATGTAATAATTGTACCTTATAGTTATATTTATGTATGTTCTCTATAACTATGTAATTGTAGTTTTAAATAAAAAATAAATAATGAGAAATAAAGTATTCGTATTTCTTTAAACTGTAAATTACGTAGTAGAGAATTGATAAGAAGTAGTGGATTCGTAAACGATAAAAAACGAGCGACTTTCGTCGCAAGTTGATTATCGTTTCCGAATCCACTACTTCTTATCAATTCTCTAGCTTAACCCATTTCTAGTAAAACGACTGTCTGGTTTATGTTTTGGCAATGAATCAACGGAATTTCATAAAAAATAATTTCGTATTTTGTCTTTTTTATTTTATAATAGCTGGAAATGATTATATCCACACGGTTCACGTCTATATTTAAGTTAACATACGTTTAATATAACTTAAATGGGTTGTTAGCTCCCCTTTTTATTACGAGATTTCATACTTGTATATTTATATTTCATTTAATGCTTTATCATTACAAAGTATTTAAATTATATAGATTTTGGTATTTATGATTTATTCAAGAAGACATATATAAATATACAGAATTTATTTATCTTTTTTTGAATAGTTAAAAAATTGTAATTACCACAATTTAGAAACCTTTGAAATTTACATATATAGTATTTAGCAATCTGCTATTGTTGACAGCTGATTAAGGATTGTCTACAATTTAACCGTACTAAGTCAAATACATATATTTAGCGTAGTTGCCATAATACTACAATTTCATGATGCTCCAGTTAATGATGCTTTCCGAAATAAATACAATAATTGCTTAAGGTCTTTTTTGAACAATTATACATGAATTTTGTTTAAACTGTTTCCCTTTCATTAAGTTTAGATTATTTTTAACGTTATTACATTTGGCATCCATCGTAAACCAGTCAATAAACTAGTATTATCTGTGGTGAGCATTCTGAATCTCCAGCAGAATTGATCTTGTTACAGATGTACAATGTATAATTATGTAAATTTTTTACTTTTACATTCAAGCTGTTCATAGCCGTGATCGTCTAGTCGTTTGTACCGAAAAACATAACTGTGACATTAACAGTGCCAAGTTCAAACCTTGTATCCGAATTGAAATTTTTTCATTGTAATTTTTTTCTCAACAAAAATATTGTTTTAATCTTAGAGGTATTATATACTTCATTTTCATTTAAAGGCGATGATTTTGTTTCTGGTTTTACAATCAAAGAAGTAGTTTTACGGTCGTAGCTTATATATCACACTTTATTCAAATTAGAGTCCGTTCAATGTTGACGTGACGTGATGGACCATTTATAATCAAACAAAGAAAAAAATATTGATAGTACGATATCAGTATAAGACTAAAACCATAAGTAAGTATTTGCTATGATAAAAAGGAAAAGTCCTTGTACGTTAAAAGTGACAAGTGTAATGGGCATATGAATGTTTATTTTATCAAAGAATTGCACTAATATATACAATTCCTTGATTCTCTAGTGTTTAGAACTAGTGTGTAATAGCCACAATCGTATAAAGACCCATCGGTTCATTATAACGATGTTGAAAATCGACCAATGTTCAAACCTTACATCGTGAATAAACTCTGTTTTAAGATATTTCCATACTGCTATATAACTATAATCAAGAACGTTCAAATGTAGAACATAATCTTCCTTAAAAAATAACGCCCAAAATAAAACAATTTAAATAAATTTGAAAAGAACATGAACAAATCCAGACATAGTATATATATTTTATTAGATAACAAAAGCGAATTATCTCTGAGACAGACATACAGTTTATTGACATGTATTGACAGTTGTGCGCTTTATGAGTGTTATTTAAATATTAACCTATGTCAGCACTCGTGGTATAGTGGTATCATGCATAGACTGAATACTCTACTGATCATGAAGAAAGTACGCGCGAGTTCGAACCCTTCATATGCCACTCGTTTTTGAGAGGATAAAAAATCGTAAGTTAAAAGTTTAAAGTTATAAAATAAGTTATCTTAAGTTAACGAAGTGGTCAGTGGATTCTTGAAAAATAATCTACTGTAAGAACAATAGACTGACGTCAGAGAAATGGGTTAAATGAAGACAGCCTACGGGTAAAATACAAGTGTATATACTACCATAAATTATTTAATCCTCAACCGTCCTTGTGAAAGCAAAACTCAGGATGATCTTTGATATTTACCTGAAAGATCATAAAAGATACATCTAACAAGACTTTCAAAGGTGTTTGCGAAAAATGAAACAAAATAAAAGACTTTTTGGTAGACGAGCAACAAATTGAATCATGAAAGTTGGCCGAATGAATGAAATAAACTTTAAAAAAAAAATCAGTGCAAATCTTTAATTTCTAGTGGCGAAAAACACGCATATTGAGTTACGTAGATGAAAAAGAATAAGGCTATTAATAATAATTATGATGTCAATTTCATAAATTCAAGGATTATAACTAACTAACAACCTTAAACACGATTCGTGATTTCCCATGTATATAAATTTAAACAGATTTATAATTTTTATCCTTAAATAAAATTCTGAAATACACAGGCATGGCTATAATCATTGGCAGTTCAGCGAACAATATTACATGAAATGCACGATGCTATTGATTGAAAACTAAGGTGAGAGAATCAAATTGTAGAATCAGCCGCTGCCATGGATGTTAGATTGTAACCAATCAATAAACGACGATACAATACAATCAATGTGTTTCTATCAATCATTTGATGATAATAAAAGTCTTTTGAATGTAAAAGAATGATAGAAATACCTTTAATTTATTGAAATTACATATTTTTTTTTATCAAATGAATTTTTTAAAAACTGCTCCTGGTTATTAGTAAACGTCAGTTCATTGCGATATTTCATAGCTCTTTTAAAAATTCCGAAAAAAATAATAAAGGAAAAATAAATGTTCCCATGGGCAAAAAAATATTTTCCCGTGGAAAGAATAATGTTCCCATGGGAAGAATAAATGTTCCCAAGGGAAAAAGAAGAAAAATTAGTTCCCTTGGGAAATTTAGAACTTCCCATGGGAAGAAACTATTTACTAATGTTCCGATGGGAACTTAAATTTCCCATGGGAAATGTACTTTTAATCAGCTTTAGTGACAACAGTGACAACAGTGACATGTTGGGACATATGGGGAAATTTTTTTTAATCACTTGGCCAAAATATTTTTGATATGTTGTAAAACAACAAAGTCAGATTTGCCAATTCTGGAATGGCAAGTTTGTCCCGCACAGTGTTATAATTAATCAGTAAAAATGTCGTAACTTTATATTTTTCGTTGTTAATTTGGTGTTAATCGCAAATCTTTGTTTCTGTTTTTTTCTAACTTGTAAAAAACTGGGACGATCATGACCTTGACATATTGAAGTGACACCTGACTGTATTTTGCCCTTTAGATATGTCTTTTTTTTTCATTGAGTTGCTGTGGTATTGACCTATACATACCAAATACATTGAAATTTACACCAGATGTTGATTGACAAATTTTGGTTCATAAGCTCTTTAAATTTTGGATTTTCAAATATTTTGGCCTCAAGCATCACTGAAGAGACATTTATTGTCGAAATGCGCATCTTGTGCAGAACAAATGGTACCGGTAATGTTGTTGTGCCTTTAATGTTTGTTGTTGTTGAAAAAAACCTATACAGATGAATGAATGTTTGTATTTTATACCCTTTATTTTTGAAGAACCCGGCACTTGTGTCATTGAGAAAAAAACATGTTCTGCAGAACAATGTGAACTACAGTTAACAGCATATTGTATGGAAAGAGTGAGTGCTGTACAGTGGTATCATGGGAGAAAAAGAATCGACAATGTCAAGGACACACAATACACGGGATCGTTGAATGAAACCAAGGTGCACTGTAGTTCGCAAATTCCATGTGTACGCGCCATTATGAAGCTGATCATGACACCGTTTTTACCAAGTGATTATGGAATGTACAGATGTGTCTTGACGACAACTAACAAAGAAATTCGCTGTGAATCTAATTTTACACTTAAACTTTCAAATCCGATTGTAACAGGTAAAAAATGTTAACCTTAATTACGTTCTAAAAAATATATAAGGTGGTAGAAATAAAAAATCTTATTTAGAAGAAGTACTGCAATTACGTATAGACAATTATGCTAGAGCAAAGCAACATTCCATGAAATAATTCATAGAAACCTGCAGCGTACGAAACACAAAATGGTAGATGAACTTTCTGCTCCTTAATAAGAAACAGTTTTGCTCTAACTAGATAATATAACAATCTTTGGGTGAACCAAGACCGATTTAATGGGAAAAAGGTTCTGTTCCAAGTAGATAATATAACAATCTATGGGTGAACACAGGTCCCCATTAAATAGTAAACAAATTCTGTTCTGCTAGTCTGTGGGCGTTTAGGAATGATAATCATTTTCTGTTTTACGTGACGTCGGACATGTTACTCTCGATCTTGACAATATAAAATCATCGGCTAAACTCAAGTCCATCGGAGTTGGAAACAGCTTCTGCTTTACGAGTTACTTCTAAAATGTGTGTATGATGTAGGCCTATTTTAGTTGAATTGAATTGTGACAGAGACAAAAAGATCACATCTTTGATATTGATATTTCGGAAAGGTTAACCTATTGATGCTTGCGCCCATTGAATTTCCCAAATGATTATCAACGTTAATGCGTTACACTTGCAATTCGCGTGAACAAAGATTGACTTTGCCATTATTTAGATTTACATATAATACTTGTATACAGTAGAAATAAATTTGGGTTATAACCAGTAAAACGGAAATCCGACAAACTGCATTTCATGACTATCACATTTGTTTTTACCCTTCATGTCTTATATATAAGTTTTGCGTTATTCATGTCGTATTACAGATTTTTCTGTCTCTAGTTTATAGGCAAATTCCTTATTATGTAAATGACGTAAATAAAGGCAACAGTAGTATACCGCTGTTCGAAATTCATAAATCGATTGAGAAAAAACAAATTCCGGGTTAAAAACTAAAACTGAGGGAAACACATCAAATATTAGAGGAGAACTACGACACAACAGAAACACAACATTAAAATGTAACACACACAGAAACGAACTATAATATAACAATTGCCATTTTCCTGACTTGGTACAGGACATTTTAAGAAAAAAATGGTGGGTTGAACCTGGTTTTGTGGCTAGCCAAACCTCCCGCTTTTATGGCAATGTTAAATATAACATTAAAATGACAACAGTACATGACAGGACTACAATACAAATAAATTGGAGAACATATAGGACAGAGAAACATACGAATTATAGCTAACAAAAGGTACCAGGTTTAAAATTTAACACGCAAGACGCGCACCTCGTCCACTCAAGACCAACCAGCGACGCCCAGATAAAGAAGTACGAAAACCAAAACAAGCACAAAGTTGAAGAGCACTGAGAACCAAAAGTTTCAAAAAGTTGTGCCAAATACGGCTAAGGTTATATGTCTGGGATAAGAAAATCCTTACTATTTAGAATAATTCATACTTTTGCAAACAGTAAATTTATTAAAATGACTATATAATAGATATACATGATAACACCAAAGTGGTGACTAACTACATAATAAAAACGGATACATAAATCAACATAAACCAGTACATAAAAATTCAAAGCCGAGTTAGCCAAAGAGATCAACGCAAAAAAAAAAAGGTGACGTCACATTTGAATTTCTGAAATTTCCCCAAAATAGGATAGAATAAGGATAGAATTCAAGATTTGGTTTATAATACTCATATAACATTTATCAATAACAATGAAAATTACAATACTAATTAATATAAAATGTGGTGGTAATAAGATAATTAATAGTATTATCTAGCTTTGTCGGTGTTTCTTCTAAATCAAACTGTAAACCAAATATATCGTATAAATTTAGTTGACCGCTAACATCATGTTTGACAGTTTAGTTTAAGTTGATTGATTGAATGATTTACCCATTTTTTCACCCATTTATTTACACATTTATTAACTCTTTTATTTATCCTTTTATTTACACATTTATGTTTTCACTGATTTATTTATTAATACGTTTCCCTGTTACATGTATTCTTTTACTATATTTATAATTAAATTGACTTATATTACTCTAATTTAGGAAATGGCGATTCTGGAAGTGTACAAGTAAAAACCAATTATATATACATTGCCATAGGCGTTGTTGCAGGCTGCGGTTTGATGATAGTTATACTCTTTATTGCCGTGATTAAACTGGCACGAAGGAGACGACAAGGTAATCAGATATTTATTAGGTTTACACTTTAAAAGAGAGACAAAAGACAACGGCCAAGACTCATAAGTCTAAGAGAAACGGACAACGCCACGACAGAAACGAGCAAAACGACAAAATTACAAACAAGTTCACAACAAAATCAACTAAACAAACTAATTACTGAGCAACACGAACCCGAACAAAAAGTTGAGATTATCTCAGGTAACACGGAAGGGAAGGAAGAAAATGCTCCACTTGTCAAAATATATGGATACATACATTCGCCGTGTTATAGTATAATGAAGGTCGAATACGCCAGGCCCCCATTTTATTATCCTGCTGATCTGTCGGTTTGACTAAATTTTTAGTTATCTATCGAAGGTTTTTGGTTCACTCTATACACTCCGGCTTTCATCAGGTATGATATAGTCACGAAGTGACGCTATATACCAACAATCAATCAATCATATTTATAAGGGAGAGCGCATTATAAGTTTGGATCATGGATATTTGATGAATTCTTATTCAATAAGCACCGTGTGCACTGAAATAAATAGAACAGTTAAAAACCGTGCAAAATACAACATACACAATGCAAAAGATATATTGAAAGTTACTCATTATTGCATTCTTTGTATTTTAGGAAGAGTTATGGAAAGGTGAGCTATTTAACCAATACTATTTATTTTCAAAGCAAAGTTTTTTTTTTTCATTCGATGTGGCGGGGTTAAATATGCTTGGAAGCGCTTATTTGTCTATTTAACACGACTATTCATTTAGGTATGCATAGCATTTATGTGAGGAAATTTACCATTGTGCTATCACTAAGCTTGGAAGACAAGAATACAAGACAAATAAATCATTGAACCAGATGCACTTCACAATAGCAGTTTATAGTTTATACATCAAGCAATCATTGATAAAATGCTTCAGTTCCGAAAACACTTGCCTTGTCACAATATTGCTTCATATAGGTGTAATACCATAAAATCATAGAACATCACATTCGGTTGCATACGAAAAAGGGTCGAACAAATGTTACCTTGAATTTGACAGTTGAGAGTAAAAAAAATCTATGCCATATACATATATCGTTGGTGTTTTGGAACACCATTATTTTTTATTTGGTGTTTCTGTAGAAGATTTTGGAATCTTGAGGTGACATGGTTACTAAAGTTTGTACACAGGAAAAATGAGGTAACAATTTGGTTGGTTAACTTCCAGTGATGGTTATTTTCTTATGTGCAATGCAATGTAATGTAAAACTTTGTCTATAATACTGGACAGGATAAAATTTTACTAGTGTCAAGTATTTCTTTATGTGAAACAAAGATAAATTCTACAAATATTTTGATAATTGCAAATTTAACACAGACTAATAGGAGAAAAGCAATGTTGGTATTACATCGAATATACATCATGCAATATTTGATGCTATTACAATGCCTCAGTTCACGATATTTCTTCATAAACCTCGCCGGGTCAAACGGAAACACAAAAACTTAAAATGTTCTGCTTCTCAGCTTAGGACGAGAGGCATTAAATATTAAGGGCACAATCTGGTCGGCTTCTGGTGAGAATAATGGGTATTTGGAGGGTGTTGTGCTATGTCTTCATGTGGACTTGCAAGTTCAAAATCTGGTTCTGTAATTTGATTAAGTACAAAGCAGGGTTTCTATTCATATCAAATTGACTAGTTCTCTTCTTGGAATACATGTTTCTGTGATTCATTAATATTCGTTGGATGCCAATTTTCGTGGATTTCATGGGAAACCACGAATTTAAATGTTCAACGAAAAACAAAGGAAGGTATGCAAACTTTGCTCAAAACACCAATTTAAATACACACGAATATGTAAGTTTTCCCCAATCCACGAAAATTGGTAATCACGAAAATAAATCCACAGTATATTTGCCACTGGATGTTTCAACCAATTCATCATCATTATCATAATCCACTTCCAATAGTGAAATCTTAAAATTTGAAGTTACACATGTATATTGGACGGTTTGTTTTATTATTTGTATCTAGTGAGATGGACGCACAGAACAATAGGAAAGATAGTGCGGGTCAGTCTCATCATACCTACGCGTCAATTGGTTCTGATATAGCTCATTATGAGAGTCTTTTTGGAAGAAGAGGTACAAAAGAGGGCTATGATTTTCCAAAGCCAGCAGTTTCTATTAAGAAAGGTAAATCGATAAAAAGAGGTACACCTTAATATTGGTTACACTATTCCTAGACCAGTAGTTGGTCGACTGCTGTACCACAATTTCTGACATTTTTACCCTTTTATGTCTGTTTGTTTTGCTCTCACATTTGTGTCAATATAATGGAATACTATGTGACTGTCATACAAGTTAGAGGTGAGCAAGCTATAAAACTAGGTTCAACTGACCATTTTATACATAAGAAAATACCTGTACCACGTCGGGAATATAGGAGGTATTTTTCATTCGTTTGATGTGACTAGCTTTTGATTTAGCCATTCAATAAAGGACTTTCCGTTGGAGTTCGGTATTTTTGTTATTTTATTATTTTTTCAGTGCTAATCAACTGTATTGTTGTGTAAACGTAAACACTACTTTATTATGAAATTAAATATATATTATAGAATGCAAATTCACATTGTCGCAAATAAGATTCAGAAACAACCAACAAGTGTTGAATTCCAGTTTTTATACAAGCGCTACTGATAAACCCTTTATTTGGAGAATAATAATGCAAGTCATGAGTTTTTGTTATAACTCACTTGCTGTTTAAAACAATACAGATAAATCTCTCCAATGCTTTCAGATTCCGAAGGCTACCTGAAACCAGAAACTCATGGTAGACTGTCAGAACAGACAGAACCGGAAGTACCAGATGATGACTACAGTGGTAATAGTTACAATTACAATTTCACTTTTTGTCACTAAGGCCACAATGGATAAATAAGATCATTAAAAAAAATTGAGAATGGAAATGGGGAATATGTCAAAGAGACAACAACCCAACCAAAGAGCAGACAACAGCCGAAGGACACCAATGGGTCTTCAATGCAGCGAGAAAATCCCGCACCCGGAGGTGGTCCTCAGCTGGCCCCTAAATAATTCCAAAGAGATTTACAACGCTTAACAATACGCAGACTTCTTAAAACATATTTCCCAAACATTTTAAGTGATTTACTCATAGTATAAATCGAAAAGGAGTAGGTACGATGTAGTATTTTTTTAGCACTGTAAGTATAACGAAAATGGAATATTTAGATCAATTAATGTTAGGGCCAATTTTGCCCAAATCGTAGTTGCTCCTTTATAACTGGCCTTCCTCAAATTTCAATTTATGTAGCAATAAATCAAAAGTTAAAATTTACACACTTCCATGATATGTATATGAACCAGACTTGTGCATATACATATTATGGAAGTGTGTAAATTTTAACTTTTGATATTTAATATTTTATTGACCAAACTACACTCAACACGGAGTAAAGGAAATAAAGAAATTCCCTCCACTCCCACAAAGTCCTTCCCCCAACAAAAAACACACAAAAACTTAACAACATATACATGCAAAACAAAAATGTTACTTTGTATAGGAGTTACCCACCCTCTGGACGCACCCGATCTCGCTCCTATTGCAGTCAAAGTGATTCCCAAAGTTTTTGTTTGTTACCTTTTTAAATTTTCTTAATCGATCTATGAAATTTTAACTTTAATATAATACTATTGTCACTAATTTGATAACTATATGATTCCTACCTATTTTAGGGCTATGATGAACTTAGCATTACGTGTGGGTACGGGAACATTATTTAAGATTTTGAATAATTCTTAAACATCGAGTTTAGTCTTTCAAGTGTGATCTTTGACTCGTTGCTGAATGTGGGCATATTTGAGAAGTACCAAAGACACATTCACGGTCATAGCGAGAATTAAATACAGAAATGTTGAAAATACTTCGGTAAACAGAAACCGAAGGATACCCCTAAAAATAAAACAACAACCAGGAAATACCTTTCACAAATCGTTGCACGACACGCGAACAGTTGTACCTGATTATATGAACAATACACATAACTGCTGGAGACAATCCGAATTAATTTAATTACAAAGACATGACAATATACTTTACTGCATAATTATAACTAATGCAGTAATAGCCTTATAAACAAGAAATTGTAAACTGCCATAGGTTAAGATTTATATGTTTCCTTATACAATTGACTCTTGTTTGTTTCTGTATTGTAAGTAATTTCTTATGTTTCATATAAAAATTTTCGAGGGTGTTTTTTGTACATAAAAGACATGTGAAGGTCAAAGAGACTTCATTTTTTTGATAAATTTTTAAATGCCAATGATAGTTTTTCACGAAAAAAACGTATCATCTGTATATAAAGATAGTGATGTTATAAATTACATCCAGATATTGCAATGACTCTTTAATTCTTATACATCTCAGATTTCACTATGGATTCTGCTTTTTCGACGTCGACATTTTCATTTTCCCAAGATGACATAGAGGCTTATAACAACCGAAAGTATTCAGCAGTAAATAATCAGAACATAGACCCAACCTATACAGTAGAAAATATCCGAAGAAACTCCAGCATTGCTTTGTCTAACCCAGAATACACTGCCGGGGTTTTCCAAAAATCCAAGTCGCAGAAAGCTGGAGGAGCAGTGAAAGGGTCACAGCGAGTTCAAGGGTCAGCGAAGAGGAAAGGTATTATATGGTTTCATTTTGGATTTGAATATTCAAGTAATATTTTTCAATTTCAAAAAGAAATATTCTGTTTTGTTTGTGAAGAATTAAAAGATGTGCCATCAATTAAAAACTGCACCATGCATTAAAAAATAAATATACCACGAAAGACACACACACAACAATTTAAGAATATATTAGTTGCATGTATTTAAATTCACGTGCCCATTATTTTGGAGAGTTATATGCTCTCTGCACGTAAAAGAACCCTTAAAATACATTTTGAAAATGCCTTACTGTAATGGAAACGTTTTGGTTTTGCCCTTTTCAAAGTTATTCGTTAAATACAGAACTCACATCAGTGATTTGTTGTTTTATTTGATCTTCTACTAAATATACATAAAACAATTGCAGCAAATCGTTAACTTTACCAAAATTTAATACTTAAACGACTTTATCGAATTCACTTCGCCTTTTACTCTAAAAAAAAAAAAAAAAAAAGATTACATGATAGCAAAATTTGCAAACTATACAATCAGCATTTTTATATTAAACAGAATAACTCGCATAAAGGACGACCATTTCATTTTTGGGGTTGGATGGAGAGCCTGCGGATTTTTTAACGGATGGAATATTCATTTTCACTTGTTGCTTGGCCGGCTTATTTTTGGTGCGATCAAATGTCATTCATAAGATAATCCTGGTAGGTATTGGAAAAATTTGAGACAAATCTGTCGTATCTGATCATGCATTTCAAAAGCTGCTGGCTAAGTGAAAAGTTATCAAACGAATGATTGTTTCAAATTTCTATCAACCAGGACATATGTGAACATTTTCCATGAAATAAACTTTTTTTACAAAAACTCGCCATACGTGATGCATTCGAAAATTGTTCAAAATAAAAAGAAATGTCACAAACATTATGTTATATCATGACAACTTTTTACCATCCCCTGATTTCAACGGCGCTTTTAAACTGAATGAATTTCATTGGTTAGAGATGTGCTTGTGCGTGCATTTTTCAAAAAGAGGAAGCACGAATTCTAAAATAGGCTGAAAATGCCATATTGGTAAATACCTCACTACCTAAAAGAAGCAAAAAAAAAAAAAAAAAAAAAGAATAAAAGAAGAAATTAAAAGAAATTTGGATAATGAGATTGAAAACAGAAAGAACTATAAATGTTGTATACATTCCATGTGTAAGCATTAAATAACTGGTCATTTGATCCCTTAAGCATGCCCAGTAAGTAATGTCAAGACCAAAAACAAGTCAAACGCGGTTATATAACAAGATCGACGCTAACAGCATCTGTGATCTACAATATTTGGTTAAGTTAAATGAAGTGTGAAAATAACACAAAAATAATTGGTTTATACTTACTCAAGTTATATCCACATGTTTGTTCTAAATTATGTATATAATTAATTTTTTTTTCAAATAGAATCATGTGATTACCAAAATATTAAAAAGACAAGAAGACTTACATGACAGAGAATTGTAAATACAATTTCATTGTAATAAAGAAACAGTGGAACAGATAATGGTGATAACAGATTACAGTTTTCTCTCTCATGACATGAGCTGTGGTTACTTGAAACCGGAAAAATAATGTATTAAATGAAAAATTGATAAAAAATAAACTGAAAAATATAATTTTCGTCTGCTTCAATATCATCAATGTGTTTAAAACGATTGATTGAATGTTGATTGCTTAACGTTAAACGGGAATATCTTATGGCATATTCAGGTCTAGAACACATTAAGTTCTGCAAATTAAGTCGACTGGGATAAAAAACTAGACATTTAGACTGCTTCACACTTGAAAATGATTAATGTTGATACCAGCAGCTGCAATTTGGGCAACAGACAGAGAGTTGTTGTACTGGTTCTTCAACGTACAGAGAGGGTGGCACTAAACTTACACGAGGCACCAACCTTACCGTCTCCGTTCCGAACGGACGTGGCTGTGTATTGATACATCCCGCGACAGTTACCAAAATACATATTAAACCGATAAACGACATCTAAAGGTCAACACATGGTCCTTAACGAATGATACGTGTGAAATCTATCGTCGCAAAAAATTATGAATGCTCGCAACGGATTTACATGGTCTGAACACTACATGATACGGATAAATGAACATCTGAAGTCTTCAACAATTTTTTGACTTCATCTACTCCATCTATCAGACAGTAGGGCAGTTGTTTTTGCTCGTTCCGTTGTTTAATATAGTACAGCGTTTGATTTTGTCAGGTTTTATGGACTTTCCTTTTTTTGTATTTACCTTGGAGCTCGGTATTTTTGTTAAGACTATTTTTCTTTATCTTGATCATGATCAGTATTCTTGACGGCGATTTTAAAACTCCGTTTAGATAAAGGTATTATGATGAACATTATGTCTTAGTAGCTTGTGCAGCAACTGATATAACGTTTTGAAAATACAAATAGCGTTTATGAAAAACCTCACCAAAGGAACCGAGAGTATAATTTGGTATATCAGAGGCGCTTTTCGTCTACATAAGACGCATCATTGGCCCTCCTATCAAAACAGTCGAAAGGCCAACTTGAATGCGTTGTTGGAGAGCATTAAAAACCAAAAATTCAGAAAAGTGGTGACAAATATGGTTAGGGCAATCTATGCTGACGCTGGTAAAACCTTTGTGTTTAAATACATCTACATTTTATAAACAGTAAATTTACGGATAATGAATATATCAATGCTTTTCATGTCATCACAAAAGGACTAATTTCTAGGGTGGTGAGTCACCCGAGGGGAAAACGCCAATCAATGATGACATCGACCCAGTTATTGTAAAGACTCATCAAAGGTACCAGGCTTATAATGTGGTACGGCGGACGCGCGCTTCGTCTGCATAAAACTTTTCAGTTGCGCGAGATCAATACTACCAATGTTTATTTGGTAGTTAATAATAAAACACAAACAGAGTCTTGTAAGGAACATACAAAGTATAAATTATCCCGAAACTTATACCTGCCACCATTGACATTGATGACAAACTTCAACCTGCCGCCATTGACATTGATGACAAACTTCTACCTGCCACCATTGACATTGATGACAACCTTCAACCTGCCGCCACTGACATTGATGACAAACTTCAACATGCCACAATTGACATTGATGGCAAACTTCAACCTGCCACCATTGACATTGATGACAAACTTCAACCTACTGCTATAGACATTGATGACAAACTTAACCTGCCGCCATTGACATTGATGACAAACTTCAACCTGCTGTCATTGACATAGATGACAAACTTCAACCTGCCGCCATTGACATTGATGACAAACTTCAACCTGCCGCCATTGACATTGATGACACTCTTCAACTTGCCGCCATTGACATTGATGACAAACTTTAACCTGCCACCATTGCCATTGATGACAAACTTCTACCAGACACCATTGACATTGATGACAAATTCAACCTGCCGCCATTGACATTGATGACAAACTTCTACCTGCCACCATTGACATTGATAACAAACTTCAACCTGCCGCCATTGACATTGATGACAAACTTCAACCTGCCGCCATTGACATTGATGATAATAATGAATAATGAATTTCAACAAAACCTTTTTATTATCTTTACTACGTAATGTACTTATGCATCTCCTATTTAACTTTTTAATCAGAATGATTTCTGAAGTTTCAAAAACCAAAACGTTTATTTTTCAATTTCATATTTTATAGGGTGAACATCCCCAGCCGTAACTCCTCCTTAACCTGAGAATGGATTTCAATCAAACTTTTGTGGATTCTTCATGACATAATGCCATTGTGCGTTTCCTATTTCTCTTTTTATTCTGAATGATTTCTGGGATTTTCCATTCAAAAACAAGGACTTTGTCCTTTCATATTATAAGAGGTGAACATCAGACATCCTCAACTCCTAGTAAACCTGTGAATGGATTATAATCAAACTTTTGCAAATTCTTAAGAAATAATTCTATTGTGCATCTCTTTTATTTATTTTTTGAGCAGAAAGATTTCTGTGGATACCCATACAAAATCACGGACTTTGCCCTTTCATATTATAGGGATGTGGACACTATAGTACACACTTATACTCAATTCTCCTTCTTAAGGCCTAATCAGAATTTGATGAACTGTCCTCTTAATCTTCACCATATAATACAAAATTCTTATTTTGTTTTTGATCTCAATTATTTTTAGGTTTCCCTTATCAAAGTATGGACTTAGGAAGGGGTGTGGTATCATTTAGTGAGCTTTGCTCGCAATACCTCTAGTTTTGATTTGTTTTGTCGCTTTGTAGACTATGCTAGTTGTCAGGGTTAATATATTTTTCAATATAATGTTATAGTGACATTTATTACAACAGTGGGGATAGAGTTCCAACCAGCATTCGAGCGTTACTTGGATGTTACATAATAAAATTATTACTTTGTTCATCAGATTTGAAAATAACATTCTACTTTTGAATTAATTAGTACGTGGCCTCTAAATCAGAAAATGTATCGAAGGTAAATTACAAACACAATACATCACAACCAAAACTTCCAATACTTTTGTACAAAATGATTTACATGAACGATATCTTTGCAATATTTTTATTGTTTTATTTCTACTGGACAACCTTTTAATAACACAATGAAATATGTACGGTTATAATGGTTGTTAACTTAGTATCCCTAGCTTTATAAGAGTAAATATACTTTACGACACTAGCTTAATGATAAAAAATGCTCTTTACTCCATGCTCTATACTGCTGTATCCCAATTTTTGATGTTTTTACCTATTATGTCTGTTTATTTTGCTCACACATTGTTGTCAATATAATAGAATTCTATGCGACTGTCATACAAATGAGAGGTTTAGTTAGCTATAAAACCAGGTTTAGTCCACCATTTTCTACATAAGGATATGCCTGTACCAAGTCAGGAATATGACAGTTGTTTTCCATTGGTTAGGTGTGTTTGAGCTTTTGATTTTGCCATTTTATAAAGGACTTTCCGTTTTGGATTTCATTTGGAGTTCGGTATTTTTGTTATTTTACTTTTTTCTATATATGACCTAGCTTTATAAATGCAAACGCTCTATATAAACATGTAGTCACTCCACATCCTTAACTCTATATAAACATGGAACTACTTTACAGCCCTAGTTTTATAAATGTAAACGCTTTTTATAGTGCGAAGTTATTTTACGGCTTTAGCGTTATCAATATAAACGCTCTATATAAGCATGTCCTAGCTTTATAAATGTAAATGCTCTGTATAAACATGTAGTTACTCTCATCCTTAGCTTTATAATTGTAAACGCTCTATATAAACATGTAACTACTTTACAGCCCTAGTTTTATAAATGTAAACGCTTTTTATAAATGCGAAGTTATTTTACGGCTCTAGCGTTATCAATATAAACGCTCTATATAAGCATGACATAGCTTTATAACTATGAAACGCTCCACATAGACATTTCCTAGCTTTATAAATGTAAATGCTCTATATAAACATGTAGTTACTCTCATCCTTAGCTTTATAATTGTAAACGCTCTATATAAACATGTAACTACTTTACAGCCCTGGTTTTATTACTGTAAACGCTCAAACATCCCTAGCTTTTAGCTACTCGCTTTATACACATATGTAACAACTTTACATCCCTAGCTTTATAACTGTTAAAGTTCTGTATAAACATTTAGTTATTTACATCCCTAGCTTTATAAATGTGAAATTTCTATATAAATATGTAGTTACTTTACATTCCTAACTTTGTAAATGTAAACGCTCTATATGAACATGCAGTTACGTCACGGACCTAGCTTTATAACTGCAAACGCTCTATATAAACATGTAGCTGTTTTGGCAAATCAAGTTGAGTTATTTTACTCGTAATAGCACAACCATCACTAGCAGTTATAAGAGTATTTCGAATACAAATCCTACTGAATGACGACAAGGATAATGTTTCAAATTTCCGATTCTGAATATGTTCAAATAGTTTCTGGTCCGCCTGAGTTTTGTCCCGAGGTTCTTCGTATTTGGTGATAGGATATCCTGCTGCTATAAACATGTCGCATAAAACGATCTTATTATTAATATGTATGTCTCTGTTACTCTCCATATACCGGAACACTTCCTTCAAAAGAAAAACAATATTTCTTTATATCCATACAGTTCTTTATAAAGATTATTTCCATTCTTTCTTTATGTAGAATTATGCTTTTTTATATCTCAGTGACCTTGTGGCCGGTTTATACGGTGTTTCTATGTCCGTCATTTTGCCTTTCGGCCATTCTGGAAGTCAGAACTAAAACCGATCTCTGAACATTTTTAATTCCTTCTTATATTGAGGTGATTTTATGTTCATTACTTATCGTCGATGGAATGTCAATGAAAAGAGGAACTCCAGTATAAAAATAAGAAGATGAGGGTATGATTGCTAATGATACAAATATCCACCAGATACCATATAACTTTGATGTTAGCACGTATAGGTCGTCGTACGGTCTTCAATAATTCCAAACCAGTATTGCATAGTCAGGTCTCGAAATGACAAAATGGAAAACAATTCAAACGAATAAACCAACGAACTGATTGATGGTAAAAGATTAAACACAAAGCAAACATAGCATACAGCAACCATGACAAACACTGCA